GATTTTAGTAATGTGGTATTTCAGACCCATATTTGTGTTGTGCTTACTTGTGTGATTCAGTGGGTCCATATTCCTGTGGCTGTACTTTAATGCCTTTCTCCCTTAAAGCACCACCAAAGGTCATTGTCCACCTGCAGCAGGGCACCAAAAGCTCAGTTTTTCTCTACAAAAAAGGGGTGGCAGCAGCACTGCAAGGGCCCTACTGAAGCTCAAAGCAACACATGTCCCTTGTCACCTCCAACAAACATAGAGTTACAGACTGGTTCGGGCTGGAAGGGACCTTAAAGGCCCCCCCAGTGCCACCCCCTGCCCCGGGCAGGGACACCTCCCACCAGCCCAGGTTGCTCCAAGCCCCCTTCAACCTGGCCTTGAACCCCTCCAGGGATGGGGCAGCCACAGCTTCTCGGGGCAACCTGGGCCAGGCTCTCACCACCCTCACCCCAAACAACCCCACATCTCAGCTCCATCTCCCCTCTTCCAGTGTCAAACCCTTCCCCCTCCTCCTAGGGCTCCCCTCCCTGATCCAGAGTCCCTCCCCATCTTTCCCCGAGCCCTTTAGGGACTGGAAGGGGCTCCAAGGTCTCCCCGGAGCCTTCTCTTCTCCAGGCTGAACCCAGAGCTGGAGTCCTCAACATAATATCCTTCCATTAAACTTGTCAAAATGTCTTAACCTGACCATAATTAACTCAGCCTGAGCTCATTATGGACCATTTCATCTCCAGCTTCTAGTATAAGTAGTTCTTCAGGCTAGATCTTTGCCAGACCAACCAAGCCAACCTCTTTCAGTGTCCTCTGTCCATTTGGCTTTCCTGCTCACTGTGTTCTAGCTGGAGTCTCACCAGTTCCTACGCCTCGTCACCAATGGTGACTGCAGCAGATCCCTGGACGTGGATGACGGGACCCACCTGAATCCAGGAGGCAGGAGCCCAGGACAAGTTTCCCTGAGCTGAGGGAAGGGGTTTATACGGCAGTAGTTTCACAAATGATGATGATGATGGGGAAACAAGGAAGCTGCACGAGTCATTAGCAGAACATTAGCACAACAGCCAATTTTCCAAAAGACTAGCTCCGTTACTGAGGCTCAATATAGGAAAATGTTTCTGTGGAGCGAGGGGAAGGTGGAGCGTGGATCAGAATGTGCTTCTGGCTCACAGCAAGCGCAAAATAAATTGCTTGTCTTAGCCCCAGGTAATTTCCTTCATGTATCTGATCCCTCAGACTTCTACCGAGGCGCATTTAGTGTATATGGTGCCAACCAAAACCTCTGCTGCGTCTCCTCGCAAGAGAAAAGAAATTTTGCAAGAATGAAGCGCTTGACGGTGGAAGAGATTTCCTGTGGTAGTATCGCTGGTTCCAATCAGACACCAAATATCCATGTGCAAACTCTATTGTTTCTTTTTTCAGCAATTTTAAATAGTGACTGTTAATGCAGTTCTCACAAAAGTTGCAACATTTTGTCTTCCTATTACCAAGAAAAAATGTTTAGAATCTATTTTATCTAGCCGGCAAGTTAAGGATGAACAGTTTATTTCACAGATGTCCCTTCACATTCTCCTCTTTACTGCATTACGGACTTCAATGTACTTTTTCTTTGCATCACCTGAACACCCAGACAAACTCCAAGAGCCATCCGACGGCGACGGCTGCTGGCACACACCTCTTCCCACCCGCAGGAACGCTGACATCAAGGATCTTCTGCTCCAGAACTAAATATCCTCCCCCGTTACAATTTCCTGGGCCAAACTAATACCCAATATTAAGCAGTTTTTGCAACCTGGCTGGAATGGGAAGCCCTGGACAGACCCTCCACATTGAATTTCCAAGACACGGGAACGATGCTCAACAATTCCTTTCTGCAAGAAATGAACACACCAGTAGCCCCCTTTGTGACAAAAAGGGTTTCTTAACGCAGGGGGTACTGAGGGGTGCTATGGAAAATAAATTCATTTAGTCCCTAGTAAAACTATTCCCTCAATCTCTCTCTCATAAAATTCTGAAGTCCTAGCATTTATATAGTCTTCCAGTGAAAAACCTGGTGTTATTTTATTCCTTGGGACACTGAATGTCACAGAGGTGGCTGGGACTGGTCCTGCCAAGACTGGAAAGCCGGGACATGCAGCAGCAAAGGGTCGGCTGTGGGTGACGGCGCAGAGAGCTGGCAGCTTCTCCTTACAAACATGAGAGCTGGGATGGTCAAACACATCACATAAATCGATATAAACTGCAGCACAAAAGCTGCTATTGCTATTTAGTGATACAAAAACCTGCACTGTGCTTTTTCACCAATAACGGCTGTCTCTTCAGTTTTTATCGGAGCGACAGATGGTGTTTTACAGCAGAAAGAAGCTAAAGCAGAAGTCTATGACTTGGCTTTTCCCTCGTGCTGTGGCCCCTGGGCTGCCATCCCCATAACACAGCCCTGGAACGGGCTTGGGCACGGGGAGCCCATCAGAATTTACTTTTTGATTACACTGAAATTCTTTTATAGCTTCGTCCAAGCTGCCCTGGGCCGGGGGAGATTGGAGACAGTAACATGCAGGTCATTTCTAAAGAACGTTTTCCAGTAAAAGAAAATTAAATCCATTTGCAGTAGAAAATAGCTAGAGAAGAGAAAGTGTCACTAGTAACTTGTAAAATCGTATGTCTACAGTGCTCATAAACCCAGACCTCTATTCAATAAAACCAGAAATGCCTTCTTACCAAGGATGAACAATAAATGTAATGTGCGAGTAAGAGGATATAAATATTCCACAAAGGAAGGATCAAATTCAAATTTTTTTCAAAATCTAGATGTGCTCCGACATATTTTAAAAGGAGCTTTAAAGTCTTTTTCGGGCAGTTTCATTTTTCAAGTATTACATGATTGGTGGAGCTACATGAGAGCTAACTCAGCACTCAGACATCATGAGGGCCCACGGCTTTCCAAGGCATGGACTTCTTCCTCTTCATCTACTTAGAAAAGAAGTTACAGACGCCAAAGGTGGGACTGTTTGGGACAAACTGTCTCTGGCAGTGGCACCTGGCTTGGTGCTGGCTGCTGCCTCCGGTCATGGTCACAGAGCCCAGGGTGCCAGGCTGGACCAGGGACATGTCCCACCTGGAGCAGCAGCTCAAGGCACCTCCAGCACCTGCCCGACATCACTACTGGGTGAAATCACCGCCTGTGTTATTAACCAGCAAACACTGTCATTTGAAAAAGATGGAATTAAATCAATTAAACTTCGGGTGTCATCAGTATTCCTGGAACTGTCTAGTTTGGGGCAGCCACAGATGGATCCTTACTGAGAGAAACAGCCGTTGAAGTCAGAGTAACGCAGTTTATGGCAACCTCCTCAACACCCAGTTCATATATTCCTTACTACTACCGTGCCATTACAGTTTAGTTTTTTAATGCAGTTAGTGCCTTACTCAATTCTCCCATCAGTTGAAAGTCATTTCAGAAGGAATGTTTGTTCTGCATCTGGTTTTTTCCCCTCCAGCTCTCATTCGAGTCTCAGCTACCAGAGAGAAAATCTCACTCAACAGGGTCAAACGCTTTCTGGCTCATGTTCCTGTCTCCCTTCCTCCAAAACACAGCCACAGACAAAAGCACACCAAAATAAAAATGCTATTTGGTGTGTTCTTCTTATAGCAGGAAATAAATCTGAAATAATCTGACATTATCTGAAATAAAGTACTGTAATTTTGTTATTTCATATACCAGTCAGATTGTGAAGTAAAAAGGTTATACGAATTGCATTCCTGTCACTGCTATTTAGATTACTATTTTAAATCTATTTTCAAAGCTGTATGTAGTTCTGTTATTTTATATACTAATACCTTTGGTGGGCTTTGACTAGGTTGAGGCATCACCACGTTCTAATTGATAAAGATGCTATTTCCTGCTTTCTGCCATTACAGTTATCACTGTAACGTGCCCTGCCTCAGACACAGCACAACTGCATTATTTTAGTTACAGAAGAAGACAAAACTTTTGTTTGAGAAGTCCCACCAATTGTCAGAGCATGAGATTTAGTGTCACCTGGAATTTCAGGAGGTCTGCCCTTTACATCCTCATCCCAGGAGAAAATCAGTGCTGCTGACTCAGCACACCTCTGCACGGGAGCACACGCTGCCGCCGCCTTTCCCAGCACAGGCCCCCAAATTTTTACACATAAACTCTCCAAACTGTACCCGTTCCAGCAGCACTAATAGATTTGCAGATAATAAAATGAAAACGAGCACGATTTTACTAAGACCTTAGATGTTCCTTGACTCTGTGTTTAAAGATGCACGACAACAGATTTTCTGAGGGACGCTGCTGGGTTACTTCAAACACGCTCTTGCATGAATAACTTCAGGCTAAAAAGACAGAAGTGTGGTTTACACAGTAATTAGGAATTTTGGGGAACGACTGACGTCTGACGCACAGTGTAGTAGGAACAGCTAAAATAAGGACAGGACATGCATTTAATCAAATTCCCTGCTATTGTTCGGTGCTTAGCTGGATTAAATCTGAGCTCTTTTCTGGAACCGATTTGATTAACTCCGATGAATTTTGGCAAAGTTTCTCTACATTTAGCTTGGAAGTTATGAACCAACGTCTTCCTCAGCCTTAATTCCACACACCTGGAATTGGGGCCTCGGGGCCAGCTCTGGCACCCTGGTTCCCAGCTGGATTTTGCACCAATCACTCTGATTGATCTTTAGCATTTCTCAAGCCATTTAAACAAATATCACAGAGTAAAACTGAAAGGTATCCCACAGTTTTATTTTCAGAGGATTGCACACCTTGTTACAGTCACTCACTTGGGAACAGAAAGTTTCCTCATGTAAATCCCAAGTAGAAGAGAGTTCCAAACCCTACATAACTTAACTGTACCAGATCAGGGGTTTCACAAGAGAGCTGAATGTTAAAATGATGATTGTTTTCAGATATTTTTCTTTAATGAATGATGAAATTAAATAACACATGAACTGTGTATGAGATGAGCATAACATATCCCCTACTCTATTTTCAGGAACCTCTTCAGACACCGATTTGCTGAAGATTCTGGAACACAGAGGAACAGCTGAGAGTCTCCAGACCGTTTCTTGTCTTCTCTGAACTCAGAAATCACCGTTCACCTTCTGGATGTCCAAGCCTTTCACCTTAAACTTTACGCTTTACGTTTTCTGCCCAAAACCAAATTACCCTCTCGATCTGCTGTGGGTTTGAGGGGCTGGGGAGCTGAGCTCACTGGCTGAGCAGCATGGCAAAGCTCAGAGCTGTGGTAACTGTTTGCCAGTTGGTGCTAGAACTGTTAATGACTTCATTAACTGAGTCTTCCATACAGAGCAACGAATGCCCGCAGCTGTGTGTGTGTGAAATCAGGCCGTGGTTTACGCCGCAGTCAACGTACAGGGAAGCCACAACAGTTGACTGCAACGACCTTCGATTAACAAAAATCCCCAGCAACCTTTCCAGTGACACTCAAGTCCTCCTCTTACAAAGCAACAACATTGCAAAGACCACAGACGAACTCCAACAGCTCTTTAATTTGACAGAATTGGATTTTTCACAAAATAACTTCACAAGTATCAAAGACGTGGGGCTCTCCAACCTGACTCAACTCACTACTTTGCACCTGGAGGAAAACCAGATCACAGAGATGACCGACTATTGCTTGCAAGACCTTTGCAACCTTCAGGAGCTGTATATAAACCACAACCAGATCAGCAGCATTTCTGCAAATGCGTTCTCTGGCCTGAAGAATCTCTTGAGATTACATCTCAACTCCAACAAATTAAAGGTTATTGACAGCCGTTGGTTTGATTCTACTCCTAACTTAGAGATTCTCATGATTGGAGAAAATCCAGTGATTGGAATACTAGATATGAATTTCAAACCACTCTCAAATTTAAGGAGTCTAGTTTTGGCAGGTATGTATCTCACGGACATTCCTGGCAATGCCTTGGTGGGCTTGGATAGCCTTGAAAGTCTTTCCTTCTATGACAACAAATTGGTAAAAGTGCCTCAGCTCGCACTTGAGAAAGTTCCAAATTTAAAATTCCTGGATCTCAACAAAAATCCGATTCATAAAATTCAAGAAGGTGATTTTAAAAACATGCTGAGATTGAAAGAGCTTGGAATCAATAATATGGGAGAACTGGTTTCTGTGGATAGGTACGCGCTGGACAACCTGCCCGAACTTACGAAGCTCGAGGCCACCAACAACCCAAAGCTGTCCTACATTCACCGGTTGGCATTTCGCAACGTTCCTGCCCTGGAGAGCTTGATGCTGAACAACAACGCCTTGAATGCAGTCTACCAAAAGACAGTGGAATCCCTCCCAAACCTGCGCGAGATCAGTATCCACAGCAACCCGCTCAGGTGCGACTGCGTCATTCACTGGATCAACTCCAACAAAACCAATATCCGTTTCATGGAGCCTCTCTCCATGTTTTGTGCCATGCCTCCGGAATACAGAGGGCAGCAGGTGAAGGAAGTGGTAATACAGGACTCAAACGAGCAATGTCTTCCAATGATCTCTCATGAGACCTTTCCAAATCACTTGAACTTGGACATTGGCATGACGGTGTTTTTAGACTGTCGGGCCATGGCAGAACCCGAGCCAGAAATTTACTGGGTGACTCCTCTCGGCAATAAAGTAACTGTGGAAAGTCTCTCTGACAAATACAAGCTGAGCAGCGAAGGCACCTTGGAAATCTCTAACATCCAGGTTGAAGACTCCGGGAGATACACCTGCGTGGCCCAAAACATAGAAGGGGCTGACACGAGGGTGGCTACCATCCGGGTGAACGGGACGCTTCTGGATGGTACCCAGGTCCTGAAAATCTACGTTAAGCAAGCGGAATCACACTCCATCTTAGTGTCTTGGAAAGTTAATTCCAACGTCATGACTTCCAATTTGAAATGGTCATCGGCCACGATGAAGATCGACAACCCTCACATCACGTACACCGCCAGGGTCCCAGTTGATGTACACGAGTATAACCTCACGCATCTACAACCCTCTACGGACTACGAGGTGTGTCTGACCGTGTCAAACATCCACCAGCAAACACAGAAGTCCTGCGTTAACGTTACGACGAAAAACGCGGCTTTTGCGCTCGATATTTCTGACCAAGAAACCAGCACGGCCCTCGCGGCCGTCATGGGCTCCATGTTTGCCGTCATCAGCCTCGCCTCCGTCTCCGTTTACATCGCAAAAAGGTTTAAGAGAAAAAACTACCACCACTCATTGAAAAAATATATGCAAAAGACCTCTTCAATCCCGCTGAACGAGCTCTACCCTCCTCTTATTAATCTCTGGGAAGGTGACAGTGACAAAGACAAGGATGGTTCTGCAGAGACCAAGCCAACCCAAGTCGACACATCCAGAAGCTATTACATGTGGTAACTCAGAGGATATTTTGCTTCTGGTAGTAAGGAGCACAAAAGACTTTTTTGCTTTATTCTGCAAAAACGAGAAGTTGAAGACTTTTGTATTTTTTGACTTTGCTAGTTTGTGGCAGAGCGGTGAGGACAGGTGGATATTTCCGAATTTTTTAGTATAGCGTATCGCAATTGTTTGACACCAATGGCAGCTTCACCTAGCTTCCAGTTCCTTTGCAGTCGGGTCTTTTTTGGGGTTTTTTTTTTGGTTTTTTCAGTTGTGCTAAACTTAATGCTGTTCTAACTCCAGTGCTGAAGAAAAGGGAGGAGAGGCTGGGGCTCCCCTGCGATCACAAGTAGCACAACCCCCTCCTCCGCAGCCCCCGGGGGGGCCGGGTGTCCCACAGAGCCAGCACCGGGCTCGGACCAGGACTCGTGGGGGGAGAGAAGGAGATGATGTCAGCTGACTGTTCCGTAATGTTGTATCAACTGATCTGAATGGGTTTGACTTTTGAACAATTGAGTTTTTTTTTTTTTTTTTTTTTTCTTCCCTTTTTTAAAAAAATTTTTTTGGAGTAGTTGGGAAGGCTTAGGGAAAGCTAACAGGCAATAGGAATATGTACATCCACTTTTTTTAATGTAACAGACTAAATGTTAATTGTTCTCTTATTCTTTTTCTTATATTTAGTAGACACTTTTGCAGAATACTAGAGTTTTGTTGTGTTTAAATCACCAACACACGGTGTTTAATGAAGGCAGAGCTATAATAAATTTAGTTTTGTTCTGATTTTTTTTTTTTTATTTTAGAAGTCACAATAATGTATTGGGTTTAGATGTCACTAGTTTGACTGGTGATCATGTTTTGACATAAAATATATCCAAAATGTTATATAAAAATATTGTGGGGTTTTTTTTCCTTGATCGAATTACATTTCAATTACGTTCCCAATTTTTTTTTGTATGCATTTATTTTTATAGCAATGTTTTCTCTGCACTAGATGCAAAATATTGCAAATAATTTAATCAGAAAAATGTATGGGTATGGCTTTGGGCTTGTGAGTCACATACAGAATCAAAGCTGTTTGGCAAAAGGTGCATAGCAAAAATAATTCACAGAGTGTGTAACCAAACATCTTCCTTTTTGTATACTTTTCTGTTTATGTTCTGAGCTGAGATATAAATGAAGCTGACATTTAGCTGTCATTATGATCAGTTAGGACAAAAAAACCCAAACAACTCAGTGCCACCAAACTGAAATAAAACAGTTGAATCCTGGCGTATACTTAAAAAAAAAGTGAATTGGATTAATGTTCTGTCAAAAGCAGAAATTCTGAGAGCTAGAACTAACAAGAAAGTGATGTTTGGGTCCAATATTGAACTGTATTTTTTACAGGCTTAAAATTAAATAGTACTCTGAAGTGTTTTACTGAATTATTATGGGGAAAGGGCAAGCCCTCCGAAAGCAGCGGAGCTTCTCTGTGTGCGCTGGGTCCAAGATAAACACATCACCTACAGCTGAACCCCCAGCTGCTTTGTACCTTCTCTTTTCCACTCCCCACCAGCACAGGACTTCCCACCCTGTAGCACCACTACCATGTGCAACCTTTTCAGTATTTTTAGATACCAAATACGTTCTTGGTAAGTAAATGTTACTTGTTAAAATAACGGATGTGCCTGGGTTTTGGGGCTGTTGGAAGTTTGCTTAACTCACCAGCCTCTCAAATATATCAAAGACACCCCCACCCCAAAGCTACAAACAGCTTCAAACTTCTTTTTTTCCCCTGGAGCCAACTGTCCAGAAGCAGGGAGGTTCTCAGCACCCTCTCACTAATCACCTGCTCTGCTGCAGGAACTTCAGCACGTCCCTGGGACACACGCCTTGTTGATCTTGCGTTTCAGCGTGAAGCTGAGTGAAGCTATTAATTATGCATTTAAATCAAGTACTTATGCTGCTTTACACAATCTCTTACATGTTCATCAGATCTCATGCATTTTTAATCATGTGACAATTAGATGTTGGGATGAGGCAAGTGTCCTTTGATCGTGGAGAAGTGACACGGTGGAAGTATTTATTCATCACCGTCTCCTGTATTTGTTTTTAATGTTAATGGAAAATTTCCTCTTGCCTTCTTCTCCAGAAAAGCTTCAGAGCAATAATTATCATCCTGCCTACACGCTATTCTAACCTTAAAACCACCCCTATTATTACAGCAGACATGACGAATTAAAACCGAGAGCTCTTTTGTGGTGAAGATTCACTCAGCTTTTTTCCAGACAAAAGGACAGAGCGAGGACAAGGTTGACAGCGAAATTATGGCTTCCAACTTGCATGACATCATGAAATTGTCTTTAGAAAATAATGAATTGAAGGAGTGTCAGATGGTGCAGAGTAAGCCCCTTTCCCCATCATCTCCTCAGCTTCCAGCAGCACTTGGGACAGTTACAGCACAAAGAGTAATGAAGATCACACAAAAACCAGTCATCCTGCTCTTCCTCCTCCCTGTCCCCACCTCCCATCCTCCGTGACACCCACTGCTGACATCTCCCTGCCTTCTGAACGTGCTCATATCCACCAGTCCATGCTGGTGGAGACAGGGCACGCCGAGAACTGTGTGTGTGTGGTGGGATTTGGTTTCACCTGGCTATTTCTTGTGCGGTTTGGGCAGTTTCAGAAGGGAATGACTGGCACAAAGGAAGGTGGCTGGGGGACACGGCCCCGGAGCAGGAGGACGCGGCACTCGGCGGTTCGATCGGCCATCGCCACCAGCAGCTGGGGGTGTGGGAAGCAAAGCAATACTTAACATGGGCCTTCCCTGGGGAAATAACAGCCCTTTGGTTCCCTGCAGACCTATTTGGTAGTTTTATGCCATTTGTTACCTTTTTAGAGCAAGGCTCTAAGGAGAAAAGGGCCTGGTGAGAGCCCTGTGCTTCCCAGGGCTGTGCTGCTGGGCGGTATTTGGGGCAGAGGATGCTGTTGGCACTCGGGGAGGGAGATGCAGGTTCCCTGAGCAGCCCAGCAGCAAGAAGCACCCAGTTAATGTGGGATGTTCCTCACACCCAGCCACCAGCACCAGGTATTTTCAGCCTTGTAATTTCACCCCTTAGAATTCTGTACAGATCCCCAGGAAATTTAAAATTTTGGTAATAAGAGGGGAAAAAAAAAAATGGGTACGAGATTAATCACATCTGGCATATAATCTTAGTAAATAACCTTCAACCTTGTGCTTGCAATTTTGTGCTTGCAGTTTATTGTGAGCAAAAATAAAAATACTCTAATTGCCTTCAAAATGCATCTGCATCTACTGTTCACTGAAGACAAAAAACCACCCCCAGTTTGCTGAGAATCAGAGATTGAGACTGGCCACTTCAGAAACAGCATGGGGAAAAAACGTCGTTATCTTTCATCTGGCTAAAGGTTTAGAAATGCTGTGTAAGAGTAGATATTTCATACCCAACTAAACTTCTGCAGCGTTACTTCCACTTGGTTGCCCAATAATAAAATATTTCAGGCCCCTGAAGAGGAAACAGCTTACTCGAGTGTATGCAGTATTCCAGCTAAATCCATTTTTCATTTCCTCACCTAAATCATAACATCCTCCTGGATTGAGAGACAATATTTTCCCTCGTGAGCTGAGACTCACACTGGACATGGTCTTGCAATAAAGTGCACAAATAAACCGAGACTCTAATAGAGCTACGAGCTGCCCTCCAGCCCTGCCTCATGAACAGGTACTCATTTAGTTACTAAAAGAAGGTTATGAAGAGAAAAAGGCAGTTTGGACCACTGGTTTCCTAAATGGGCTGGAACTGGAAATAGGTCGGTCAGTCTGAGATCCAGCCAGAAGTGCTTACACTTGCCCTGATGCCACCAACAAGCTGGGACGTCAGTGATGAAAGGGACATCTTTCTGAGCTCAAAACAGGCAACTTCTTTTGCTTTGTGCTGGCAAGTACTGGCAACCCTGAAAACAAGGCTGGGGACAACCTGCTGCAATGAAATTCCCAAATTTCAGTAGCTGGGGGCTACTCCTGCAGCACCTCCACCACAGCCCATGGTTCCTGTGTGGGAAGAGGACGATTCACTGGGGACATCTCTTCCCAACCATGGCACCGTCCTGCGAAGCATCGCCATGGACACGTGCTGATGGGTGAGTGGTGGTGGAGAAGCACCAGTGGGACCAGTGCTGGAGGAGCTGTTTCCCAGCCCACCCACCACACAGGGGGTAGCTGGTTCTTACACTGTGCCCCTGCTCCACGACCAACCACTGAAATGAATGCCATGACCTTCTGCTGCCGCTGGAATTTGCCTTTTCACACCCAATTGCTGCATCCCCGGTGCCTGCAGCTGCAGAAACCCCGAGACCGAAGGTGACCGTGTCCCAGGGAAATTCTTTCCTCAGGAGAACCCCGAGTGCCTGAGCTGGAGACAGCAAACACCGTCACACATCATCCTCGTTAAATACCGGCACTGCATCCCTGCAAAAAACCACCAAAAAAAGCTACCAAACCCCCTAGATAACCGTTCTGTGCAGTGTCGTACAGAAGTGATGTTTTGTGTTTCCCCTGAACTGTCAACCTTTTCATCTCCTCCTTTTCTGCTCTTTCCAACTATGGTGATTTTTTACAGCTGAGAACATTTCCCCCCCGACTCGGGTCCGTTTGCTCTGCCATCAGCCTTTCATTGGTCTCATCCTTCCGCCGTTCACGGGCAAATCCTGTACAGCCTCACTCATCATGAGATCTCAAAAGATTCCACTGAAGCACTTTTAATTTGGATTTACCTTTGCAGCCACCCATTTTCCCTGCCAACCTTCTCCCCTTCACCTAATTCTTACCCCGATTTTCTTCCAGCTGTTTCTGTTTGGAGCCCTCAATTGTCAGATGAAGGATGCGATGAGCATCCCCCTTATCCCTGAGCACACTATGACCCTCTGTTACATTTTCTACTGCTATGAAAGCAACAAAAGACTAATTTTTCTTTCAAGTAAAGGACATTTACCATGAAATTTGTACTATTGTATATCTATGTCCAATAGACCAAAGGAATGCTGAACCATAATAACAGTCGTAACAACAGTTTTTGAAATACATGAGAATAAATACTTTAGAAAAGTTGGAACTGATCATTAACTAAAATTTTCCCAAGCAACTAAATGACTTAAGAGCTGACATCTCCTTTACTTCAGTGGTACGTTGGGTGCAAAATCAGGTAAATGAGATTTTTCTCGAGTGCATCTGGAAGTATTAACTTCCTTACATTCTGAGCAGCTGTGAAACATTTTCTGTGGGATTTTATAACACAGATTTTTTTTCAAAAATCACTTGAAACCATAATTTTTATCTCAGTTATAGGGCATGGGGGGATGGGATTTAAATCCTGTCATCCTCAGCGGAGTTATTGATTTGCAGTGATCTAAATAAGGTCTATATCTTTAAAAACTGCAGTTCCAGGTTTCTGCTATTCAAGTTCTTGGCAGATTTTTTAAACAGCAGCTCTTCCTACTGCAGTCTGTTCTGCTGGACATGATTCCAAGCAAGAATTAATGTATCAGAAAAGATTAGGGGGAGGAAGAAAGAAGAGAGGTATGTTACCCTTTTGCTAAAAAATAAATCACCTGTTTCTGTCAAAAGGTACAGGAGTTTTTGTTGGGGTGGCTCTCAGAGATGCGTGTTGTGCCCAGACACTAAATACTCCAGTAACTGCTACAAATCACAGTGGCTGAAATGAAGCAGTGCTGCAAAGCAGTGCCTGGGCTTGGAGCATTCCCCCGGGAGGGAAGAGACCTTGCTCCTGAACAAGCAACTGTTGTTAAATCACCAAAACAGCAGAATTACCCAATTTCCTCAGAATTTGATCAGGAGCACACTAAATAGAGCCAGAGGGTCCCCTGGGAGCAGGGCTGGATGCAGCCCCGCTGCCAACAGCATCTCTCCACACCATGCACCACCAGTGGGGGGGGGGTCTGGTCACCTATGTCCTTGGTGTGACATCCCCTTGGGCCTTCAGGAAACCTGGAGATACCTGCTGCATCCATGTGCTGACATTTTCCAGAGGAGAAGCGCTCCCTCCCCACACCAGGGACCTCCAGGTCACTTCAGGAGGCAACTGCTCAGTGTTTTGTTCTTCCCTGGCTGCTCCCCAGAGCTCTCTGGTGCCTCATCTGCAGAAACCATCCCTCGGGGGGGCTGGTGCTCTTCAGCACACGCTGTTAAAACACTCTGCAAAACATGCAACTGAATTCAGCTGCAAAATATTACTGCAGGAAAAGGAGAACTCAATAAGCAGATTAAGGCCAAGAGGTTTGGGTGCCTAATTTAATTCCTCTGGACCCTGAGCTTTCCGGAGCATTTTATGTTCAAATGCACTGCCATGAAACCTCTACACAGACGATGAGGAGGATGTAATTCATGTTGTTCAAAAATAAAGACCTTGTTTTTCTGACTTGTCTCACATCCTTGAAGAGCTCTTGGTGGTGGGAGGCCAGGATCCATGTCTGGAGAGTCAAAAATGCATGGATGTGGCAACAGAGATGTCCTCCACCGTGTAGTCACTGGCAGGAGGAACAAAAAGCCAGTGGGGGAACATCCCTGCTTCCATCTCCCCAGAAGGGACTATGTACATACAGCAGATCATCATCAAGTTTACTGCTTCTCTCTCCTTTGCTGAAACAGAAACCATGGTTCTTCTGAGATGGATTTGTAGAAAAAGGTATCATTAAATCTGTTACTGCCAATACCCACTCACTGGTTTGACTCATATCACCAGTTTAACAAACTTCTGCTGGTTTTTGCAGGAAAGAGGGTTGAACCCCAGTGCTACTTGCCAGGAGACTGTGTCATCACCTACAGAACTGCAGCCTAAACCATTGCCTAATGGTCTGCTGATCAAAATACACAAGAAAGGGGGAAAATCCCAGCATGAGCATCTGCACAGCCTGGTATTTGTCCGATTATTGAACAATGCTCAGTCTGAGAGCGAAGCTGGGAGAGCACACAGCTCTTCAGCTCTTCCCCCCCCCATTCCTCCCCCACTGCCCACGGGGGAGCCCAAACATCAGACACAGCAACTTTTCAAGATTGACCTAAACATATCCTGGAGAACAATTCCACGGAGGTGCAGATGTTTAAGTGCGTTGCTGAGCGGCACTTCCAATGAGCTTCTTCAACAGCAAGAGCTATTTAAGGCCATTTGCAAGTCCCCACAATTCCACGGAGGTGCAGATGTTTAAGTGCGTTGCCGAGCGGCACTTCCAATGAGCTTCTTCAACGGCAAGAGCTATTTAAGGCCGTTTGCAAGTCCCTAAACAGCAGATTAAAATTGGTTTTATGGAGAATGGTGTCGTTAGCAGTTATTGCACCGCTCCCTATCCTCCCCCAGTGTGAAGTTTTGCTGGCACACATCACATGGGGGTAATGTCACAGAAGTGGTTTCCGTGGCTTCCAAGTTCTTTCATGTCAAGGCTGAAGCCGATAGTGGGACTATGAGCGTTCAAGGTTATCAACCACAATGAACTTTTCCTGAAGTAAGTTTATCAGAAAAGATGCTCCAGCTTCACTTATATTTTAATGGAGTCTCGACATCTAATTTCCTTCAGAACAATTTGAAAATCTCATCTCAAAAGAGTTTGCAGTGAGTTTGCTTTCCCCAGTGATTCATTCCCCTTCACGTAATTGTACGAATTGAACCTACCCAAGGTCTCAGATCCTTATCTTCTCAAAGTCAGTAAGAACTGCTCTACTTCTCTAGGTAACAACTCATTTCCACAGCCTGCCTGAGCTGTCTTGGACTATTTATATAGGAGGCTGCCCGGATAGACAGACAGTAGGGAAAATGCAGCAAAAAAGTAACCAAAAAAAGCCATTACAGCCCACGTACAAGTGCACATTATTTCTTTCCAACCCTTTCCTGTTCTCCTCCTTTGTTTCTTTCTTCCCTTTTCAAAATTAAAAAACCACTTTATTCTATTTTTTCCTGGGATGTACCACTGCCTGTGTTTGCCCTGCTGAGGCCTAAGCTGATCTTAGCTGAGCAAATAGAAACAAAAAGCTAAACAAAAACGTTATCCATACTTCACTCACACCAATTGCCTTTTTCATTAATGTAATTACAATAATAATTTTGAATATGTCTGAGACAAAGTTTGTGTGAACAAATCCTTTTATACCATCCCCTCATTGCCCCGTTCCTGTGTCAGGTCACAATGTGCACCGAGCACAGGACAGCTGCTGCACATGGGCTCTGCTTCCCTGTAAAATCACACCATTCCACTCCCGAGTAAAGCTGGTGCTGGCAAGTGTGAGGCTGAAGGCACAGCTCTGTCCCTCCTCCTCCACCGAGTGTGAGGCTGAAGGCACAGCTCTGTCCCTCCTCCTCCACCGAGTGTGAGGCTGAAGGCACAGCTCTGTCCCTCCTCCTCCACCGAGTGTGAGGCTGAAGGCACAGCTCTGTCCCTCCTCCTCCACCGAGTGTGAGGCTGAAGGCACAGCTCTGTCCCTCCTCCTCCACCGAGTGTGAGGCTGAAGGCACAGCTCTGTCCCTCCTCCTCCGCCGAGTGTGAGGCTGAAGGCACAGCTCTGTCCCTCCTCCTCCACCGAGTGTGAGGCTGAAGGCACAGCTCTGTCCCTCCTCCTCCACCGAGTGTGAGGCTGAAGGCACAGCTCTGTCCCTCCTCCTCCGCCGAGTGTGAGGCTGAAGGCACAGCTCTGTCCCTCCTCCTCCTCCGCGGTGACAAGGACTGTACCTTGTCTCTATCAGGGCTCTGCAGCAAGACAAACACTCTGCTTATCCCGGCGTAAAGAACACGACCTTGTGTCAATAAAGGCACGGGGCCGCCTTCTCCTCTGACACCCTGCAAACGGAGCAGCTTGGCTAATCTTGCACTGGATTCTCCCCTCACATTCATCCAGTCAGCAAACACGAGCCTAATAGCGCAGGTCAAATGATCATCACAGATAAAATACACAGCTTGACTATTTGGCCTATAGCAAATCATCAAAAAGCTATTTAATAATTCAAATCATATGCAAACCAAGACTACTCCAGTGTTTAATATCAAGGTTTCTTATCTATATATGGAAGTCTGCATAGAAACTATCAGCATTGGGTGGCAGAAGCCACTGAATAAATGGTATTAATACATTAATAGCATTTCAGGTCTCCTCATCTAAAGAGCCCTGATATTCTCCAACACCTTTAAGCCAAAGTGTTTCTTTACTTTCTTGTGCTGCAGGTACTTTTCCGTGACCCCAGAGGCAAGCACGTGAGCTTCTTGTCCTGAAGCTCCACAACCATTTACAATTCTCAGAGCACAAGCTGATGCAGACCCTCAGTTATTCTGGAAACCACCTCCATTCTTCTTCTGAAGAGAGACAGGCAAGACCTTGGAGGTCTCATTTCCTCAAAGAGAAGAGCTGCTTCGTTTCTTATCTCTTAATGTTCTGAGTGGGGAAGAACAGTTTACGCATAAAATCATCAATCTTAATATTTTTCAAATAGTTCCGTGTGATTGTTCTAACCTCTGCCATGAACGAAAGCAAGAGCTGTCAAGAAATAAAAGGCCAAATAAATCCTCCACAATTGGTCCAGAAGATGAAGTCTGGGAAACCTCCAGCCTCTCAGTCTTCAGGAGGTGCACCCAGGGCCCTGATTTACTCCAACTCCAGCGAGCTAAACAGATTTCTTCTCATTTCATTCAAAAAGCAACTGATTGACAGATGGGGGGCAAGAAAGTGTATTGTTAATGATCTAAAGTTGTGCCGGTGAAGACCCATGGCTGTCTCCTAACGACAACTACCTCTCCATTTAGTGGAGTCATCCAAGCACACGACACACAAAGGCTCAGTGTGGATGAAGAGAGGGGAGACAAGCTGCTATCTGGGAGCAAAGCTGCATCTTCTCACGAAGAATTAGTGACAGTGTCCAGATTGATTAAATACAGGAAAGAGCCAATAACAGAGTGACATGGGAAAATGACAGTGCTTTTGTTTAAGCATCTTGGACAATGGGCTTTATCCCCGTGGATGTGAAGTGACTGCACCACTGCTCCCTTCTCCTTGGAATCCCAAGGCAGGCTCTGGTGTGCCCTCATTCCACCCTTAAACTTGGGTCTTCATTCAACTACAGCGGCTTTAACTGCACCCCTCTGTATAGACTCTGCATCTACTGATGTGTATGTTCCTCCTCTGGATTACAGAGCCCTTCAGTATCAGTACTCTCTCCCCCACACATTCATATGCTGCAGTCAAATCCCACCTTGGTCTTTTTGTTAAATTAGACAGACTCTGTTCTTCCAACAGTTCTGCTTCCCTAGCGCTCACCTTTCTTTGCTTTAATCTCTCTGGATAAGCAGTTGGCACACAAACAAAAAGACAAAGCTGATTTCAATCGTTTTTCTACGGCGGATTCGCCCCATCTATGCAGAGAGAGTTCGAGGAGAAAACATTGTCTTTTCACGACAAGGTTTCTGCATCGTGACATGCTCTACAGCAAAACCAATTAATACTGACCCGGGGTTTGGTAATGCCACCCAAATTAGCCAATACACAAGGAAAACAATCTCCTTGTTTAACTACCAATGAATACATAAACAGGAGGGTACTTCTGCCAGACCCATTTACCATCCCCCAGTAA